CAGAATAATTATTAACATAAAAAATACATGTAAAAAGGGATAACACTATTTTATAATTATTAACTTAAAGATTACATATAATAATAATTGTTATGTAACCCAAGGGGGTTAAATTCTATTGTAGACACCTGGGCTAGTGTCTCAGTGTCTGACATTTTGACCCTTTGCAATCTGTACTTTCCAAGTGTCACTTGGCGCTTCTTAGCTATCACCCTCTCGGCCCAAAGGGCTTTTCTCTTGCGTGAATTTAGTGCTATTGCTGCTTTTACCTTACCTTCAATGGTTTTTGTATTAGCGGCTATGAACTCAGCTAGCTCCTTGTTTGAGCTTTTATCAAACTGAGTTGCTTTTCTTTGATTGTACTACTTTTGGCGGTGACTGAAAGCAATCCAAACATGCTCCACATGTTCTAAGGACTGTAGCTTGGGTAGTCGGGGTTCCTCAATGTTGAGGTTGGAAGCCCTGAGGACCTTAGGTTTCTGTGACATCTCTGGTGTGATATCTTGTGGTGATTGAGTCAAGAGTACACATAGGCTAGCAGACACCTTCTGCTCAACACCCTTTTCCCATTAAAAATTCAGTCAAAGTTTCTGCTGAATACACATTGATCTAAGTTTGATAGGAAACTGCTACACACAGTTTCTCTATCATCAGTACTGCCACAACAATATATAATTTGTTGTGTTGACTCTTGTGTATTACAATAGTGGGGCAGGTCTTTTAAACCAGCAATAAAAGCTTTAGTAGCTCATTCCACATTTGTAATATTGCATCAGCTATTTCCCTCTTGCAGGACTGCCACCGTTCCTAAAGGAGTTCTCACCCCTTTGTGGGCTCTTTTGGGTTAGCCACCCCCAAAACCCAAGTGGTTTTTGGGGAATCCTCCCCCAGCTCCTTTGGGGGTTGGTTTTTTTAATTGAATTCCTTGGGGGCTGACGGGTTTGAGGGATTGACTCCCAATCTCTGGGTACTTTGGTGGATTTTTCAGGTGTTTTGGGGTTTGGGAGTCAAATCTCCAATTTTTGGGAGTCAATTAACCAAGACCCTTTTTTGATTCACCTCTTCTTCATTTCCAGCTTTTTGGTACACCTTAAACTTCAACAAACCACAAATTGGCCAATTCTCAACAAAAATCCACAAAAAAATCATCCAATGTATCCTTTTTTTATCCTCTTCAGCGCTACTGTCTCAAATTTTGCTGATGGATCACTCCTGTTTTTTTTTAAAAAATCATTGCTAGAACTCAAACTTCAACACAGAACAACTCCTCCATTTATCAACCAAAATCATCAAGAAAAAAAATCAAGAATATTCTTTTTGGGTCTTAGTCAACCAACTCCCAAAAATTGTAGTTCCTACTCCCAACTTTTTGGGACATTGCAAGCCTGACCACCTATTTTTTTCCCCTGTTTTTGGGGAGTTGGACCTCCAACAGGTCCGCCTTGTTTAGGCTGCCTGACCTCAGAAAAAAAAAAAAAATAAGAATAATTTGATTCCCCCCGGTGTAAGACTCAAAAGTGGTTATGAAAGGGGAGTGATAATCACACTCCACCCCCCTTCGCGCACACACTCCAACACTCCCTTCTCTGAAGGGAGTGTGGGACCG